CTATAATTTATTTTAATACGCCAGTTATATATTTATACATTTATTTCCAATAATGATAGGTTTGGTCCTCCATAGTCAGTGAGTTTACTATTTTATACTACTTCTGTGATATTACTACTACTTCTACTTCCTGTTATCTTCTTCATCATCGTCTTTTTCACCAGTAGAAACAGACGGTTGTTGATCACGTGACTCCTGTGATGTGAAAAAACTGTTTCCATTGCAGTTTTGTGAAAAACATCAATTTCGATACGGATGAAAAACCACCTCATCCTAGTGCAAAAATATTTTGTTGAAAAACAGAATTTTTTTCTAAATTGACGTGTTTTTATTGAGTAAATTTATTTTCTAAACTCTAATTTGCGCATTTTCATGGTGAATGGAAACACAGCTGGTGATAAGTGTCTCTGTGGGACGTGCAGGTTTACCTGATGCCTCGGCGCTCTGCGACAGCTCCGGCAGCTTGTTCCTCAGCATGGCCGGGTTCTGGTACTGAGGGTCCAGCAGGAAAACTCTCTCATAGTGGGGGTCTGTGTTGGGGGGGACAGAAAGAACAGGAAGAGTTCTGACTTCAGTTTAACTTCAGCTCTAAAGTCTGAACCAGTCTCAGCTCAGACTGGGACCCCTCCTGAGTAAAACCAGCTACCTGCAGGGGGGTGTCTGGAGCGAGGGGGCACCGGGGGGGTCTGCAGGACGATGGTGTCGCTGCAGGAGGACAGCCGGACAGTCACGTCCTCGTCCAGGATGCGACGCGGAGCCTGCAGAGGACGAGCGGGGTTAAAAGCTCCACAGTGGAGACAGACGGCAGCACAGACAGCAGGCCTCACCTTCTCCAGGACCTTACACACACACTGACACCACAGGATGAGGACGATGATGATGACCAGCAGCAGGATGATGGTCACCAGGCAGCCAATCAGGACGGGCGTGTTCCCATCCTCTGAAGAGGCCGTGGATGATGGAGTAGCTGCTGGGGGGGGGGTGGGGGTCAGACCGGTCCTGAGATCAGAATGATGTCAGCAGCTTTCATGTCTCACCTGTTGTTGGTGTGGTTTTCATGATGACATCATCACTCGTAGCAGAACTTCCCATCATCGGCATCTGTGTTGGCAGGGTGGACAGGACGGTGTCCTCTGATGGACAAAAAGCACCATCTTTCATTTTCTCCAGATGACTCTCAGCTACCCCCACACCAAGCTTTAGCTACTTATCTGTGAAACGTTTCGGCTGTTTTTACCCGACTGGAAGGAGACCTCGCTGAACATCATCCACACGTCAGCGAAGTGGAAGCGACAGCGGAGGAGTCTGGCTGCGCGGCGGTTCAGCGGCACGGTGACGTACCGGGCGCTCGGGTTCTTGTCGTCCAGCACCGTGTTGAACACCACAGGCTCCGCCTCCCACGCCGCCTTGGGGTGGAGCTTAAAGGAACAGGAAACTGAGGAGAAGATCTTCACGCCGCGGGAGAACATGTTGTTACTGTGAACCTGCAGGGAAGACAACATGTCTCAGTGTCTCGCTGTCTCAGTGTCTCACAGTCTCACAGTCTCAGTATCAGTCTCAGTGTCTTACAGTCTCAGTGTCTCACAGTCTCAGTATCAGTCTCAGTGTCTCACAGTCTCAGTGTCTCACAGTCTCACAGTCTCAGTATCAGTCTCAGTGTCTTACAGTCTCAGTGTCTCACAGTCTCAGTATCAGTCTCAGTGTCTCACAGTCTCAGTGTCTCACAGTCTCA